TTTTACATGACAGGAAGTAATTGACAAATATACAGCTGTTGTGAAGATGATTGATTCTGGAGACAAGCTGAAACTTGACCAGACTCATTTAGAGACAGTAATTCCAGCACCAGGTAAATCTGTTTGCAGACCATTTAATACATATGCCATCAAAATGAGCGGTTCCATTCTTAAGCCACTGTATTTTGACAGTGCTTGATGGTTGTAGTTATTTTTCTGTCTTGGCAACATTAACTGCCAGCGTAACTCATCTCTGTTTGGATTCAAGGGCATCGTAGTTTACTGGCTCCCTGGTGAAGCTGTTTTGTGGTGTCAATGGATTTTCCTTTCCTGGAATACTTTTTTTTTTTCTTTCTGAAGCAAAACATAGACATATATGGATAGCATTTGTTATATTAGGCTTATGGTTGTAGGTGGAGAATCTGTCATCTGAAATGCCTGGACTTCCACTCAGAAGTGTTTCCAATTTTGGATTTTGGAATATTTGCGTATACATAATTGGATATCTTGGGGTTGGAACCCATGTCTTAACACAAAATTGATTTATGTTTTATTTTATTTTTATTTATTCATTTTTGAGACACAGTTTCACTCTGTCACCCAGGCTGGAGTATAGTGGCACGATCTTGACTCACTGCAACCTTCATTTCCCGGGTCAAGCAATTCTCCTGCCTTAGCTTCCCAAGTAGCTGGGACGACAGGCACGCACCACCGCATCCGGCTAATTTTTGTATTTTTAGTAAAGATGGGCCTTCACCATGTTGGCCAAGCTGGTCTCGAACTCCTGATCTCAAGTTATCCACCCACCTCAGCCTCTCAAAGGACTGGAATTGCAGGCGTGAGCCACTGCACCCAGCCTCATTTATGTTTTATATACACCTTACACACATGACCTGAAGGTAATTTTATACAATATTTTAAGTAATCTTGATTGCATCTTTCTTGACAGTGACCTGTCACTGGAGGTCAGGTGTGGAATTTTCCACTTGTGGCATGATGTCAGCACTCAAAAGATTTTAGATTTTGGAGCTTTTCAAATTTTGAGTTTTCAGATTAGGGATGTTCAACCTGTAATGTATTTGTTTAGCTCTCTGCGATAGTCAAGTGAAAGTCTGTGTTATTTTGCTTTTTTTCCCCCATAGTTGTCTTTGCCTTCTGGAAACTTATCCGTATCTGAGTACGAACACTACTTTGACCAGGTTGTTTGCTTCTGACTCAGAATCTTCCTGGGGGGTGTCATTGCCAATGTAGTGATAACATCAGACCATGGAACTTCCAATTGCCATATTCTTTATTCTTTTTTCCTCCTAAAGTAAAAATTTTTTTACAAATTAGAAAAACTTGTGTTAGCTTAATTGTGGTAGAATTGATGTACAATAAATCACACATATGTAAAGTATACAATTTGGTAAGTTTGAACATTGCCTACTTCATAAAACCGTCACTGCAATCAAGATGATGGATAAATCCCCTCATTTCCCTCTCTAATCCCTCCATCCTACCTTCTGCTCCTACGTCCCCCGTCTTCCTCGGCATCTGCTGACGTGCTTTCTGTCACTGTAATTCAGTTCTTATTTTTCTAGAATTTTATATAAATTAAGTTTCTATAAATATAAATGTGTCCTGTTTTCTGGTCTGACTACTTTTACTCAGCGT